GGAGAAATTGCTCAGCTCTGCCAGAATTCCCACTTTGCTACAAAAAAATAGATTTTTGGCCGTTTTTCAATAATAATAATAGTCATCATCGTAATCATAATGCTGGCAGGTTGGCCCTCGCTCTGTGACAACCCAGCCCCATCTCCATCCCTGTGTGGAGGTGGTTGCAGTCAGCTGGTGCTCCTCAGGGCAGCATCACCCAGCAGCAGGAAGCAGTAGAGATGCCCCTCTGCCACCCCACTATGCTCCCTGGCATCGGGGTGACCCCCAGGCCTCCCTGAAAAGCATTTCCAGCCCCCATAAACGCTCTTGCTCCTCTCCTGCCGAGCGCAGAACTTGGGGCCGGGCTCAGCAGAGGGAGCCACAGACTGTGTGTCCTCGGACAGGAAGCTGCAGAGGCTGGGATTCAGCCTGGCACTCTTTCTCCTCTCTCTCCACTATCACTGACCTTGAGCATCAGCCAGCCGCAGGCGGAACCTTTGCAAACCCAGCTATCCCTCCCCACTGCTGCTGCTTCCCTACAACAACCTTTCCCACCCTTCCCTTCCCTCCAAACTGTACCAGCTCGTTGCAATGATGCCCATTCCCCTCCCAGTATATCTCCCCTTGTGATGAGCAATGGAGAAGAGACTGGAGGAAATGAGCACAGACTTAAGGTGCCCCGCACAGATTTAGGTCCCCACAGGAAACATTTACATGGCACTAAGGACTGTCCCCCCACACCACTTTAAAACCAAACACAGATTCTAAATGCATCCCACAGATATATTAGGGAGGTGACATCATTGGGGTTGATATTTATGTTTTCCAATAATTGATGTATCTACAGGCCATACCTCTTGTGGCATTTCTGGCTAGAGCAGAAAATGCATGCAAAGGAGGGTCCCTTAGTGGTTGCAGTAGGTGAAAATAGCAGGTAAACCCAAATCTACCCTGTTTTACCATAAAGATACCCCCTCAGACACTTGTTGGCTAATCTGCTCATAATAGCACTGCTAATGCTGGATGTGGATACCATTAATTATATGAAAAAAATCCATTTTCCCTTTTTCCTGTGCATCGATGTGCTGCAGCCATTCATGGACCATCCATCAGTGCGTGGACTAAAGAACTGTCAGCTGTACAGTGAGATATAACTTTTCAAGGGGAACATGCTGAGAGGGTGTGCAGGCACCCATGCCAGGGCAGGACAGAGCCAGGGCACTAATGCCTTCCCGTAACTCCTAGTAAAGGGTCCCCCAGGCTACACGTGAAGGTTGGGTGAGGGCACCCACCCAGGAATTGCTCCCTTGGTGGCAACTGTATAGCCCAGGAAAAGAAGCACCACTGTTGTTTGCCTTAGTACTTTTAAAATAGCCTAGAGGCCGGTACAGCTCAGTTAGCCCCTCAGGGTGGATTTCTAACCTTTGCTTTACTGTTGCCATCACAGTATGGAGCAGCAGAGCAAACAGAGGTAATGTGGTACAGTCCACTCTGCCAAAAATGCCTCTACAAAGCCCCAACACCAAAACCACAATACAAAGTTCTTCAAAAAAGGTAAATAAATCCTTTCTGATTATATTCTTTGGGTATCTTAGCAAGATTTATTTGAACACTGTGATTTATTTGCTGTCCCTGTCAGCAGCACAGCCCAAGACTTATAAAAAGAGCTTTAATGTTTTATATCCTCTTAACTTCTAAATCATAACTGCAACTTTAAATACAATTGGAAAGCAAAGCTTTTCAAAGGTTATTTCCAGGAGCTGGCACAAGGGCTCAGCCAAAGCTCAAAGGACACAGCAGTTTGGGGGCTCTTTCTCAATACCGACAACTCACTTGCGAGAGCAAGGCCAGGAACCAGAAGGCAGGTAATGAGCAATTTTAGCTCATTAAGCAGCTATGAGCTTACTCCAGTCCTACTCCAGCTTGCAGCTTCCCACTGCTGAGCACTCAGAGCTGCAGGCTAGCCATCTGTCAGCGCTTTCCCAGCAAGCTGGTACTGCCCAGGCTCCTCCTCCCTCCTTCTTTAAGACTGTCTTTCCATGAGCTTCCTTGGGAACAGGTTAGGTTGGGCTGGGAAATCTCACATCTTCAAGCAGCAGCATTTGTTTTCATCACCTACCTGACCAATCCTATGTGCAAGAGGTTGCTTTGAGGAAGAAGTTTTCAGACTTTCCATGAAGATGCTCCAAGGGCTGGAGCACCTCTGCTATGGAGACAGGTTGAAAGAGTTGGGCTTGTTCAGTCTGGAGAAGGGAAGGCTTCAGGGAGACCTTAGAGCAGCTTCCAGTGCCTAAAGGGGCTACAAGAAAGCTGGAGAGGGACTTTTGACAAGGGCCTGTAGGGAAGGGACAAGGGGGAATGGCTTTAAACTGACAGAGGGCAGATTTAGATTAGGTATTAGGCAGAAGTTCTTCCCTGTGAGGGCGGTGTGGCGCTGGCACAGGTTGCCCAGAGAAGCTGTGGCTGCCCCATCCCTGTCAGTGTTCAAGGCCAGGTAGGACAGGGCTTGGAGCAGCCTGCTCTAGTGGAAGGTGTCCCTGCCATGGCAGGCGGTTAGAACTGGATGAGCTTTAGGGTCCCTTCCAACCCAAACTGTTCTGTGATTCTGTGAATCTGCACCTAGAGATGGAACCCAAGGGGAGAGGACCAAACAGCCTGTGCCAGTGACCTGACAGAGGCTGGACATGGCACAGGGACTCACTGACTGGTCAATCCACAGCACATGTGCAAGAGTAATGGGCGATACCAAAAGTAAACCACAGCAATGGGGGGGGGGGGGGGAGGGGGCACCCAAACCAAAAATACCTCAAACAAACAAACCCCACAAAACCCCAAAGAGAACACAAAGGAGCTGAGGAAAAAAAAGCCCTGAGAAGCCACACATACCACGGGAAATTACCAGGGAATGAACAGAGAATGTGATAGAGCAGGTGAGATCTTGAGAGATGTGGTAGGTTAGGGATGGTGGGATGTCACCTTAACTGCAGATTTGGGGTCTTTGACAGGTTTGGTTACCGCTCTCTTCTGTTTTGTTGAGGGTTTTGTTTTTCTCTTGAGCTGTAAACACTTTTAAGCTGAATATTTTTTTCCCCCCTCAATGAAAAATTGTTTTCCCACGATCACAAACCCAGGAAGGCTCCTTCCAATCCCACACCTAAAAAACAAACCAACACAAAACATAAAGAGAAGGCAATAGAAAACGTCCTGCAAAAGCGCCCATTTGAACAAACAGGCCATTTCCCACCACAATCTCTGGCTTCAATACACAACCGTGAGAAAGACAGAACTCAGCTTCACCACAAAGACAATTCTTGACAATGCTCCGGGGCCTCCCAGGGGGGTTATTTCCAAATAGGACAGACCATTTGGGAAAAAAAGAAAACAAAAACAAACCCCCACGCAGCTGGAGGCTTCCTGACTGGCACAGCATTCACCCACAAAGCTACGCTGTGCCAGCACATTCCCCATCCCGCCTGCAGCCCAAAACCATTTCTGGTTGCCTGATTCATCTCGTGCTTCAGCAGAGAAGAGACTTAAGAATCACAGAACAGTTTGGGTTGGAAGGGACCTTAAAGCTCATCCAGTTCCAACCCCCCTGCCATGGCAGGGACACATTCCCCTAGACCAGGCTGCTCCAAGCCCTGTCCAGCTTGGCCTTGAACACTGCCAGGGATGGGGCAGCCACAGCTTCTCTGGGCAACCTGTGCCAGCACCTCAGCACCCTCACAGGGAAGAACTTCTGCCTAATACCTAATCTAAATCTGCCCTCTGTCAGTTTAAAGCCATTCCCCCTTGTCCTGTCCCTAGAGGCACTTGTAAAAAGTCCTCCACATTTCCTGTAGCTCTTTCAGTACTGGAAGACTGGTTCAAGCTCTTCCTGGAGCCTTCTCTTCTCCAGAAGAAGCTGTGATGGTTTTGGCTGGGATAAGGTTAATTTTCACACAGACATTTAATGTCTTCCTTTTTTTATTCTCCTTTCCCCATCCAAGGGGCAGGAAAGCCTGGGTCAGTTCACCCTCATGAGGGGTTGGCAGCTTGCAGCAGGTCATGCTCCTCTGTTGGTGCAGTTACAGCTCCAACTGCAGCACAGAAGGCATCCACCCCTTGGAAGAGCCTGGTGATAGAGAAGAGCAAACATTAAGAGCTACGAAAGGACTTCCCTGGCGCACACAGGCACGGTCTGCTTTGCTTCTGGTGTGAAGTGACAGGGCAGCTGCACGCTGTCCATGTGTATACAAACATACCCAAATACAGTCTGTGCGGTCTCCCTTCCCTCAGCACTGCCCCTTGGCAAAGCTTTCGTTACGATGCTCTTCAGGAGTCTCCAATCTGTAAACTTTGCATTTCCTTCCCCTGTATCTCAGCAATATCTGCATCCTGAGAGGATGGCAGGAATATCTCTCAAACAGCTTCCCCCCTTGAAGGAGCAGCACAGCTTCTGCTAGCACAGGCTGAGCTCATTGCTGTGCATGGCACACAGTGGGGTAACCCAACCAAGACTTCAGCTTCAAGGTCTTGTCACACCTACATGTTGTCAACTGTTAGGACACATTTGTTCAGGTAGCTTGGCCAGGAACCAGGTATTTCCTCAGTAAAGTGTGATGAGGCATCCAGAACAGCTCAAGAAGCATACAGAGGTCTGTAAGTCTGTGAGTCTCAAAGCGTTCAACAGCTACTCCAGAGCAGCTATTGCCACCCGCCCTCCTGCCCCATTGACTCCTCTGGCACCGAGGACCAGAAAGAAAGATGATGACACAAATGGGGACTCATCTGAGTACAACAGCAACTACTGTCCCAGAAGAGCAACCCAACATCTCACCACAGGCTTGGAGCACCTACCAGTGAAGAAACCCCCACCCAAGGAGACAGAACTTGTGCCACTTCCTTATGAGATGCCATCACCTCCAAGTCACCAAGAATGCTACCACTCCAAAGGATAGTACTGTGCTTTAATAGAGACAAGACTTTCACATGGTACAACAACAGGCTGTACGTCCTAGACATACATACACACTAGGTGTAGTTAAAGCTTGTGTATTTGAACAATACTAATGTTCAAAAAAATGCACCAAATCTTACAACAACAACGTGAGCAAAATCCAAGGCCACAAGTAGAGAGAGGTATGGTTTAAGGGCTATAGGTCACATGGAAATAAAAACCAGTGGTGGTGCAATGCGAACTTTATCCTGAATAGAGATAAGGGGTTAAAACACAACTTTTCCCTTACCTCAGGAGCAAGACAGTGTTTTACAGAGACTTAATTTCCAAACTAAAGCAAGCAAAGAGAAACAAATATACTAGTGTGTGCCCCTTTGGTCCTCAAATTCTTTTTCCTGTTTTTGAGTTAAAGACAGAGTTCTACTCTGAACCTCAGGCAAGAAAGGTTTAAGGCTTTTTCAGCTGGGTATTTGAAGCAGAAAGTGGCAATATCTGCTCTCAACCACTTCAGGAAAACAAATACCATAGAGTTAGTGTATTTTATAAATGTGCAAACACAGCTTGTTTACACTAGCAGACAAACACTGTTACAGTACTTAACTCTACAGAATCCAGAACAGAGGATATTACAAAAGATTTTTCCCAATAATGCTGTGAAGGTCATCAAGGTAAAATCAGTGTAATCAAGTACATGAGGTGGTTGTTCTTGAAACTTCTTTAGGCCCAATGGAAATTTGACCAGACATTATTTTCATTCAATTTCCAACACGGGTTGAAGCAAGAGGCAGGAATGTTGGTTAAGATGGAGCTTGCCAGACCAGGAACTGTCTTTTAGGTTCATATACAGAACATCTTGGATTCATATTCGGCATAGCAGATACCACTATGGGAACCTTCTCTGTGAGCATCCGACACCCTGGCTGACATTTTATTCTCTAACTTTTGCCTCCTGTGCTTAGTTTGGGAAGGGTGGTTTTCATTTGTGCCTCATGTTTTCCCAATTAAGAGTTACAAAACAGCCATTAAAACTGTAACAAAGTATAAGAAGTTCAGCCAAGTCCAGCTGACTGAACCTTTTGTACCAATACTGCCACATACAGAAGTTGCCACACAGAAAAAAATGTGGTTGAATTCACTTTGATGGCCCTGGAAATGCTTTTCTCAATTGCTCTTACAAAATAAGTTGTTGTCATTTCAGGTTACTTTGCCCTGAAACGACCGGCTGTCAAGCAGAAGAGGTACAAGGGTGCTGTGTTCAGGATTTCAGTGCTTACCTTTGGTCCAACATTTATGAGATGCAAATCTTGACAAGCTTGAACTCTTAATTTTCAGATTACCAGGCTACTTTTAGCTTCTAACCCACAGAAATCCAAGAGGGAAAGCTCAAAATATAATATCATTAAAAACCTCTTTGGATCTCTTAGCACTTCACAGACTGGATTTTTTTCCCTCCCCACTCTTAAAGTTTGCTTAAAAATAGTAAGAAACTAACAGTTAAAAGTGATCAGAGATTCTCAGGCACAGATAAGAAGGTGCATAAAATGGTATATACTGAGATAAGAATGTGCCCCAAATAATTTAGAAGTTAAATCCCTGCACGTTAAGAGGCTAGGACAAACGTGTTTTAAGTTTCTCAAACAAAAAACACACACAGAAAAGGAGGGTTAATACTAGCAAGAACATCAAACACCACTAGCGAGAACATCAAACATCTCAAAGAGGTATAACACAGACATCCAGATTTTTAAACAGCCGCTGCAGGACTTGTAATAAAATATAGTCAGAGAGAATTCAGGACCATACTTTTCAGCAGAGGCGCAGTATTTGCAGCATAGGGGTCCTACAAGGACCCACAGCCTTTCCATCATTTTCTGCGCTGTTCCACATTTATTCTAATAAACATAACTATTTTATAAATATCCATTTCACTCCCAAGCCCCACTTTTCTCCTGAGAGCAGAATATTCTGCATTGTGGATGAAAAACATTTCCAAAACCCTATTTGTTGCTTGTAATTCTGTGACATTAGCTTCACTGGAAATCCAGGAGGAGCCTACCTCATCATTACATTTTCATTTGCCATCAGAAGTCTCTTACCGCACAAAGACTATGACAACAATTCACAACAATTTAGTTTAAAAGTGAGATGTAAGAATAAGTAAGAACAGACAGTGACACTGGACAAAATCTCCAGAGTGCATTTAGAGAATAACACAGTTTCAGCTCCTGATGAGTGTCAAGAATTCTTCACGGGTCTTTGGATCTTCCCGGAATACTCCCAACATTGTGCTGGTAACTGTTTTACTGTTCATTTTCTGTACCCCACGCATTACCATACACATATGCCTAGAAGAAATGAGAGGGCAGTGAATAAATCAGGCATACTCAGAAGAAAGAATCCCACAAACGTTTCTTACATGGTCACATTAAATTCTGGGGAAGTGACAAAACCTCCCTATCCAGAAAGGACATCTGCCAGTAGTACCTCAGCTGTCCTCTATGGAACAGAAAGTCAAATTCCCAGCCCACAAGTGCTGCCTTCCCCCCTCCAATCCTATGAAAAATCCCACCTTTCTAAGGTGTATTCTGATGATAAGGACATGCCTGTTGCTAGTTCCAGGCTTTGCTCTACTTGAGGAAGCAGAAGGTGCACTGAGGCAGAGCACAGACCTAGTGCAGCTGGGACAGCTGACCACGTTGCCAGCTGCCACATCTCTGCAGCAGAGCAGGTAGGCACCCACTTTAATAGCTCCAACCCACTGGGCCATGGGCAAGGATTATTACTGCTGTTGTTATGCGCTCTGCTTCGTAAAGAAGGATGGCACACAGCTACCACAAAGAGGCAACACACAACAGCTCTGCAGCACACAGCTGGAATCACATGCAGGCCATACACCATCACAGAACAGCTCAGAGTAACTTACGTAGCTTCAATAACCACTCCAACTCCAGCAGGCTGTAAGGCTTCTGTGATGGCTATTGCAATTTGTTTGGTAAGGCGTTCCTGGACTGAAAGTACAACACGGTGTTCAGAAGCACTGTTAAATCTGATCAGCTTCCATGCACAGCCACTATCTGGACAGCAACACTGAATCCTCTCTTCCAAGCATGCCTGTTCCTCACCACCCATATGCAAGTACTGCTCTTCCCAAGTGAATTTTATTAGTACCAAATCCTCTTTTATGTTTTTAATCCTTGAACAGACCTTTTATTTGCTTGTTAATACTGGAAGTCATTTTGCACTATACCTTTGCAGGAATTGCATTACCGTGATTTGTTACAGCAGTTTACATTTCCTACTATGCAGTTAGATTTTCTTGCTTCTCTATTTTCTCTGAACTTTAACATATTTGTTCACTGGTTTTACTGCTACACTATTCCTTCCCTGCACACAATTTCTCCTTCTAAGAAAAGGAAATGAAGATTTTAAAATGAGCAAATTAAGGGAACCTACTGTCCTGAAAAGCTTACGTTCCTGCAGTTCTAGCACTCCCTATCCACTGATCTGACACCTAATGGCCACCGAGACTTCTGTCACCAAGAACAGGGTAAATTTAATTGCAGGAAGAGAGCAGGCTCAGCCAAATCCAAGGTCTCAGGTCCTGCAGCTTCCTCCACTTTCAAGGACAGCAGGCAGGCAGCCCATGACATGGCAGCTCTTACTTCATCTCTTTGAGAAAGCCAACAGGATGCTGGGTTACATCAACAAGGACATTACCAGCAGTGATAAAGATGTCATTGTCCCATCTACTCAGTGCTTGTCAGGCCACACTTGGAATACTGTGTTCAGTTTTGGTCCCCACTATGCAAAACTGGACACAAGAGGAAAATCTTCCACAATGAGAACAATCAGCCACTGCAATAATCTCCCCAGGGAAGCGTTAGATTCCCCAGCACTGGACACTTGATATTTGGCTGGACAGGGTGCTGAGACATCTAGTCTAGGTCATGCTTTGCCTAGAAAGGTTGGATCAGATGATCCCTGAGATCCCTTCAAATCTGATATTCTATGATTCTTCAAACAAGAATTCTCGAAGGCATCTCTCAAACTATCTGTAGGAGAGTTCACCTCCAGTAGCATCCAACTACTTTAGTTATTCCTGGCAGCTGTATCTTGTAGCACATTTACCCCCTGAATCAGTTACTAGCTACAACTATTTTCATGGGCAGATGTTACACTTTACTGGAAATGCAGAGGCTGAGGGAGATGACAGATGAAACACTTGTTCAACAACACAGTGGTTTTTGTTACACTAAAATTTGCCCAGCCGTACTCCATGTACAATTATCAGTGCCCTGAGCTGGCTGGCAAAGAAGTGCACACAACAGAGCCAAAAATTCATCTGCTTACCTTGTAATCTTCTACTGTATATTTCCACAATCCTGAAAGAGAAGGGAAAAAGACAATGTTATAGTTATTCCTATCTGACCATCACTATTAACTTGACACTACCAAACAAGACCACTGTACTGATCTGTGTCCTTCCTGGAAATCTGTGCAACACCATGCTGCTGCTCAGCCCTGGCCGGCATTGCTCAGGACATCCCTCAGGATATCCCTCAGCACATCCCTGTGTTTACTGATAGGTTCCTCTTACCCAAAGGGTATTTCAGAGGCAAACCTCTCACTTCTTAGAGCTGCTTCTATTTGCTGTTACTTTTGAATTACTTGTACCACCACACCCCTGCATTACACAGTTGCATGGGAATCCATGTCTAAAGACTCCCTGAAAGCTAACCCTTGAACTGAGGTCAGACTACCTTCTTCTGCTTCAATCTAAACCAAATGCTGTTTTAAGGACAATTCAGATACTGGGATTCCCAGAAGGCTATTGAAATTAAGCAAGAAATGCTTTGGATTCTTGCATTTAACCGTAAATGTAACAAAAACAATGAGACAGAATTGCATTTATTTAAAACAGATACTCTCCACCCATATGCCACACCATCCTTCACATTTCAATGCAAGAATAACCCTAATACTCCCCTCGAACATGATTTCAAGTTTAAGCCATCTGTGGGGCAATGCAAGTGATACTACTTGCCACATTTATTGCCACAGTCCTGTAATCCACACATTTAAGAAAAAAGTCTTATAATTGCTCTGTAAATCAATGGGTTATTCATGCCAACCTCAAATGCTTAATTGCACATCAAGTGGCCATGTAAAGTTGCTACAGAAAGCTTCAATACCCGTCTCATCAGGCTAGACAAAAAGCAGACACTGGCTAGCAGCCTGAAGCATCAGTTACAAGAAACATTTCTGACAATGAGACTTGCCTGCTGCTTTGGAGAGAGAATTACATGCTGAAGACTCCCCTCCAGAAATGAAATGGTTGTGTTACAGCTATTCTAAACAAAGCAACATAATATTTAGATGAAATATATGGATAGGAAACAAACTGATGCTCAGATATTTTTATGATGTTGTTACATATAAGAAGTCCTGTAAGCATGTTTATGTAAAAACAATTCTTTGCATTAACATTTTCAAGCCTGAACTTAAAATCCGAAGAAATACGTTTGCTTACTGAATGCAGGTCATCCACAACTACAGAAACTCACCATATCAGGCTAATCCTATTACAAAAGATTATGCCTACAGTACCAGCAGCATCACAAATCTTTGTTTGAACACTGGTTGCATTATGTAGGGCACAAAAGGAAAGCACTATTTGGCCCACCAATCTTTTCATGGTAAGCACACAAAAGCAAGTGAGAAACGAGAACATTTTGTTATACAAGAATCTAATCTTTTCGTTATTGCAGTATACAGGAGTCTTACCCTTGAAAAAAGAGGCAAGATTTAACCTTCCAAGCAGTGCAGGAAGCCTTTCACATACTCATGCATGTTTCTATGAGAATAAATAGTAGGAAAATTGTACACTTCTAGCACTGTGTTGCCACTTGCATTAAAAATCACCAAAAACAGTTTCGAGCTCTTTTTTACAACTGCAGCTTAGAAGTAACAACAGAACAGAACAAGCACAAATCAACAGATGCACATTACAAATGTGATCCTTAATCCTGCATTCGAGCCCTACAGAAATGAAGCCAAGTGCTAAAGACAATCTCTTCAGCAAGGATATTCACTCTCAGAAATCCAATTCAAATAAACCCTTGCACCACCTAAAAAGATCCAGCCACATGAGTGCCAGCCAACACACAAGCCACGAACTGCCACACAGACATCTCCAAGTGTAAGCAGGTATAGAAGGCAGTCTTCTGCCCAGCAACTGCAGTGCTGGTCTTAGAATCTCATCCTACAATTTCAGCAGTTAAGTACAGCCACAGAGAACATGCAAGAAAATAAATTTAAATGTCAAACTGCCTGTTTCAGCTTTTTAATCAGAGAAAAGTCAACTCCTATAAGCACTAGACAAGAAGATACCCTCCCTGTAATTTGTTACCTTAACAAAGATGTGACCTCCAAGGGTCCTTCCACTTCCAACTTCACTGTTGTGCAAGCAGAACACAGAACAGGGCTGGCTGACTTTAAAACACTATAACGTCATATCTCCCCATTTCTTACCTGCTAAGAAAACCCAGCAGGCATGCAGATTTACAAGGCTAATTCCCATTAGTGTTACTGGAACTACAGCAAGATTAACAGACATATCGGAAAGCATAAGCAAAGCCTATGTGGACTTTCTGAACTACAGCCAATTTTTCAGATTCATTTCTCAAGAAACACTTCCACTCTGGTCCCCATAATGTGCTTATTGAAGGGATCTACCATCCCCTTCCTCACCAGAACTAGAAAGCATTACTTTATAACAAGATCCAGTGCAACAACTGATCCAAAGGAAAAAGCTGAGGGAAAAGCTATTTTGTGTAACAAATGGATTTCTCAAGTCCATCATAACTGCTTTGTTTCTTAGGCGCTCTCATCAGGTTTCGAGTGAAAGAAAGAAAAGCCAAATTTATCTGAAGTCAGGCAGCAGATGAAAGCTTTAGATTCAGTTTCTATCCATAAAGTGTGCTCATTTGCAGTGTGGAAGTTTTGGATTTTTGTTCTTATCAGTCGATATACACACAAGTATCAAATAGTTAGAGACCCCCACTGGTTTTTGTGGCCTGCCTTAGAACGTGACCAAATTCTTTGTTGTTCTTTTGTCAGTGCTTCCGGCAGACACCAATGCTTCGGATGCATGTACAAAAGCACTACAACTGTACTACAGCCAACTGATGTGAATTAACACAGAGCTCAAAGACTTATCTGTCCTCTCCACAAAAAACATAATGCTGAGGATTGGTCTAAATCCAAATCCAGGACACAAACTGAGCTGAGCTTTACAGGGGGACCAGATTAGAAAGATTAGCACAGTTAGCACAGCTTGGAATCCTTTCTACAAATTAGGATCACTTTCATTACATTAACACTTACCTAGCAAGCTTGCTGAGGCCAAGTACTTGTTTGTTAGGAAGATAGCCAATATGTACCTAGACAGGAGAACAAACCATTAACAGAACCAAAACCACACTTCCAAATGCATATGAAACTCATGCACAGAGAATGAGATGTGCATTTCTTCCAGAACTAACTATGGAACAGTTCAGAAGTCTTAGCATGTGGGAAGAACATGCCACCATGCAAGCCTGAAAAACTGTGGAGCTAACAGAGACTACAAATGGCTGGTGAGGTCAGTGTCCTGGTGAAGAATAGCTAAGTTTTCTGAGGGATAGAAAGATCACAACTCTTGAAGAGTTCCAAGTTCAGGAATGCTACTACATTTGGGTACAAAAAGAAGTCTATTACTCAGTACAGCACTATTCATATAAAATAAACATGGCTTTTCTTTCAAAACCTAAAATGGATTTAGGCAGTGGGAGGGAAAGGGATTGTACTTCCAATGAAAGTTCTAATGGCAAGAAGTACTTTGCCAAAGTCAGGCTGCACTTACTGTTGTTCAAGGTTTTCTTCCCCTGCTTTAGTAGTACCATACATCACTCTGCAATTAAGTCAACTTCCATCCTACTCAAGTATGGATTTGCTGAATATTCACACTAAACACAGTTGCACTAAGTAGGAATAAGTTTAGTAGAAAAATGCTCAGATACAAAGGTATCTGAGGGAAAAGGCATTTAGCTTCATAGTTTTAGAAAGCAGCATAGGCTCTGAATTCAAGTGAGTTTACAATTATAACAGATTATAAACCAGCATTGTGTCACTGTACCAAAGACTTGAAAGATTAGCCAAGATACAGTAGGTGAGTGTCAGTGTAGGATTCTTAGTGCTTTGCCGAGAGGCCCCATCTCAGAATCCTGTATTGCTGTATCTGCAGTCAGAGGTACCACAATGCACCTAATTACCTGGCTAACATGCTCATTCCTATCACTTCTGTTGGGTAATCAACCTACTGACACCTGAAAAGACATGAAACATTTCAAAGTGAGAGACATAACTTAGAAGCAAATGTTGAATCCTGTTCCCCACTGAGTGTTTTTGAGAATTTCTTAGTTTCATTTAAGATAGAACTGCAAATTCAAGACCTACTGGTAGGCATTTGCAGCCTGTTTGATGTACCCAACAGGAGAATGGTTAGTCTGAGAATATTTAGAAGCATACCAAGTCATTTAGCAGACCATTATACGAGCAGGACCGATTCGGTGTTTGCGAGGAGATTTCTCCAAACCACACAGGCTAAACTGCTAGATGTAAAAAGAATGCATATATTGCCACAGGAGTAACAAAGAGGATAATAGGCAAAATAGAAAGCTTGTACAGAAAAAGAAGTTACCTTGATTTCCAGTATAAAATACTAACAGTGAGAAAAAGCAGATGAAATTGAGTTGACTTAACTAAATAAAAGGCTGGTTTCTGTTCAGGTATTGCATTTTTGGAAGACAGTTTACTTGGAACATATGTGGTACTGACTGAATTTTATAGACAACAAAAGCATTTGCTACTCCCTGGCCTGTGAGTACTTTATGATATAACAGATGGATCAGAATAAGCTCCATCCTTCTCTGCTGATAGGGGAGTGAAGAGGCTAAAATATGTTGAAGGGACTACCCACTCTGAACTCTTCATCATGTTTACAGTGGTTAACTTGAGAATTTTTATTTACTTTTTAAAGCTGCTGGCGTCACAATTTCAACACCCTCCGAAACACCAGTCCCTTTCATGGGAGTCCCAATCTAAGTACCCTCCTGCTAGTCAATTCTGACCACACTCTCCCTGACGGGGCTTATTTATTTAAGACAGGGCTACTAATCAGAAGCTTGTTCTGCGCACAGGGGGTTCCCGAGGTGAACGTGCACTAGATAGCTCTGAGCCAGAAGCTAAATCCGTGGCAGAGCCAGTGTGCAGGGTGAGCTGCTTTAATATCAAGATGTCTGCCCTCAAGGCTTGCTGCTGCTTCATGAAGAAGAGCTTTGATATTAAATGTCAGAAACCATTAGATTACATAGACTAGGGAAAGTTGAGCATTATATTTTAGGAGCTTAAATTCAAATAAAACTCACATTAAGGAGGTCTTTCTTATTTGTATTCTGAAGATTAACTTCCAGAATCATAGCCGTAAGCAGTAAATACTTAAAGCCTTAAAAGCTTTGTAGTTACAGCTACAAAAGGTCTTTTACATGTACTTTAGGTCTTTTATCATATATTCCCACATTTGTTTTGTGAGGAAGAGTTACCTTTCCAACAAATGGAACGAGATGATGCTCACACAATGAGAACATGTCTATGTCCTTCACAATTACCATCTCATCATGATCTTCATCAAAGATGGCGTCATTCAGAACATCTGAAATTAAAGATTCACATTAAAAAAAAAAAATTAAAACAGAAGCATGGAAGGTTCTTCAAGCCAGTATCTGAGAAGTCTTGTAGCAAGAGTACAGCTTTCCCAGTACTACAGAGTCAAAGGTTAGGATACAGGAGGCAAGTAAAGAGTAACATCTGAAGTACGCTTCGGTTTGCATATGGTCATACAGTTGCCACAGTGCTATGTCAAACTACTTACATGCTACGCCAGAAGTCAGCCTGTAGTGTTTTATTTAAATAATAGTGTGAGTCCAGATTAGAATGAGTCTAAGCAGAATTATTGACATGTTAAGAGGAGGAGAGGACGCCTCAAAATGGGCTTTCATTAGTGCTTCCACATACCACGAGCAAGGCAGAGCCTGAGGTTTGAGAAAAGCTAAACCATCACAGCAGTTTTTTCAAACACTTCAACATCAGCATCACTGCTTTCAAGGAGGGTTTGCACTCAACTAAGATACTCTTATTTCATCCTGAAGCACACCAGTCAGCAGCTCTTTAGGCACAGACATAAGCTGAAGAGACAGATTTGTATGCACAGATGGGGGAGCAATTCACTGTGCCCCAAACTGAGAGAAGGCATGTGTATGCATACTCCGGCCTAATTCTGCACCTCAGAGTTAACAGAATTGAAGTGGAGAAACCCACAAAGACAGAAGGAAGAAGAGAGAGCTCAGTAAGAAAAGGGATACATAATGTGACACTTCACTAGCATCAAAATTTAGGAGGACAGATCCTCAGTTGATCTTCCAGATTTAGCATCCTCTGACAAGTCCCCCAGCAATCCTGACACAGGTTACAGCAGATCACTATAGTCTTCACAAAGATTGCAGGCAGCTGGACCATGCTTGGAGAGGTTAAAAGTAGAACAGCCTGAAGAGACCAAGCCTTTTGAAGGACAAGAGAGAAAAGCTGTATAGAAGAGAGAGATGAGAGATAATAGCAAGAGAACAAGCTGTACAGAAGGGCAAGGAACTCTGCAAACAACTTAGCTTGAAGACACACTGACACTTAGAGTTACTTTCAGGAACCAGTCACATACACCAGGACCAGAAGGAACCATTTGCTCAGGGACTGCCCTGCTTCATCTGCAGTGGCAATTACACAAATCTAATAGTCATGTCTGCTCTACTTGCCTTTATGCCTTCCCCTGACATGCACGTACACCTAATGGCCACCATCTGTTGTCGATAACGTATCATCATCATGGAGCATTTTAATTTCCTGTTTGCTATCAGCACTACACAGGTAACCCTGGAAACTGTGCGCAAGATGTTCTGCCTGCGATGCATGTTCTTTCCTGGAATGGCTGGCAACCTGCAAGACAGCAAAGCTGAACCCAAGAAGGCTTTTGATCAGGTCAGAGAGCAGGAGTAAGGGGCATGAAAGAGCCCAGGAAACAACTCTGTAAAGGCTCATGATTTTGTTCTTCAAATTTCAAAGCCTAGTTTACACCAAGTGGGCAAGAATTCCGATTACAAAGGAGCATCATGCAGTGGTATAACTATGAATTCAGCAGGAATAGCCAGAATCCAAAACAGAGCAGGCGAAGAGGAGAGGGAAGAGGAGACAGAACTGCTGTCTGGGTTCTTAGCTCCCTCCTGCAGCACTCTGCAGGTGTACCATTTCTACAGCAGAAAGGCAAACAGCTCTCACAAAACCTGCTACTATGAGCAGCATTGTTAAAACAAAATCCAAACAGAGCCACAGAGCATCTCCAGAATGACTGCTGCTGTTATTAGACCACAGCTTGGCTCATACTAGCCTTGCCAGGAGTGTATCAGAGTCCAATGTTAGACAAGGATTTATGTCAGCACACTCACAAAGCAGACTGTTCAGAACAATCAAACACGGTATGGTCTCATTCAAAGTCATGACAATGTGTGACACAGCGTAAGGCTAAAGCTATAACAGAAGGTACTTCAGCCATGAAGTCTCATATATATCTACATATATATAGAATCACAGAATAGTTAGGGCTGGAAAGGACCTTAAGATCATCTAGTTCCAACCCCTCTGCCATGGGCAGGGACACCTCACACTAAACCATGCCACCCAAGGCCTCGTCCAACCTGGCCTTGAACACTGCCAGGGATGGAGCATTCACAACCTCTCTGCGCAACCCATTCCAGTGCCTCACCACCCTAACAGGAAAGAATTTCCCCCTTATATCCAATCTAAACTTCCCCTGTTTAAGTTTTAACCCGTTACCCCTTGTCCTATCACTACAGTCCCCAATGAAGGGTCCCTCCCCAGCATCTCTATAGGCCCCCTTCAGATACAGGAAGGCTGCTATGAGGTCTCCACACAGCCTTCTCTTCTCCAGGCTGAACAGCCCTAACTTCCTCAGCCTCTCTTCACACAGGAGGTGCTCCAGTCCCCTGATCATCCTTGTGGCCTCCTCTGGACTTGTTCCAACAGTTCCATGTCCTTTTTATGTTGAGGACACCCGAACTGCACACAATACTCCAAGTGAGGTCTCACAAGAGCAGAGTAGAGGGGCAGGATCACCTCCTTCGACCTGCTGGTCACGCTCCTTTTGATGCAGCCCAGGATATGGTTGGCTTTCTGGGCTGCAAGTGCACACTGCCGGCTCATGTTCATTTTCTCATCAACCAACACCCCCAAGTCCTTCTCCACAGGGCTGCTCTGAATCTCTTCTCTGCCCAACCTGTAGCTGTGCCTGGGATTGCTCTGACCCAGGTGTAGGACCTTGCACTTGGCATGGTTAAACTTCATGAGGTTGGCATCAGCCCACCTCACAAGAATGTCAAGGTCCCTCTGGATGGCATTCCTTCCCTCCAGGGTATCAACCGAACCACACAGCTTGGTGTCATCGGCAAAGTTGCTGAGGGTGCACTCAATCCCACTGTCTATGTCAGTGACGAAGATGTTGAACGAGACCGGTCCCAACACCGATCCCTGAGGGACACCACTCATTACTGGCCTTCAGCTGGACATTGAGCCATTGACCACAACTCTTTGTGTGCTGCCATCCAGCCAGTTCTTTATCCATCGAGTGGTCCATTCATCAAATTGATGTCTCTCCAATTTAGAGACAAGGATGTCGTGTGGGACATGTGTGGGACAGTGTCGAACGCTTTGCACAAGTCCAGGTAGATGACATCAACTGCTCTACCCCTCTCCATCAGTTCTGTAGCCCTATCATAGAAGGCCACCAAATTGGTCAGGCAGGATTTCCCCTTAGTGAAGCCATGCTGGCTGTCACCAAGCACCTTGTTAATTTTCATGCATATGCACACTTATTTATATATAAATTATACATTAATAGGTCCTTACAAACTTTATCTAAGGAACCTAACTCCATCATGGGAATGTTGAAGACCCATGCTGTATCATGGAGGCTGCTGTTATCCTATTTTAAAGCTGGAGGAAGAAGAAGGTTAAGTGACCCATGAAGCACCACACAGGCAACTTCAGAAACAAAATGCCTCCTTCTCATGGCTAAAGCAATAAAGCTTTACAGGTGTGTAAGCAAACAGATCTATGTGCTAAGAATATAACCACAGAGCTGGAGGATGCTTCACGTTTCTCATTTATATAAGTCTTGCCAATTTTGCACCTTAGATTTAATATTGCAGCCAGAGCACAAATGATACCTGCTCAGCTACACAACCTCTGCAGCTGTGCCTGCAGCATGATGATTTTAAGTCAGCACCTGTTACTCCTTGCAAAGGAGTACCAGAACCCATAAAGGAAGAAGCCAGGTTAGTAGTTTTATCTAACTTTGTCTGCTTTTTTGTGTGCGTGTCATTCAATTTGCAACAGCCACAAACAGAGCCCCAAGAAGCTCACCCTGCATCCTGCAGCACATGTTCTGGACAATTTAACAGAGCTGAAAGGACAGAAGGGGAAAAAAAGTCCTCAGATTACGCAGGCCAGAAACAAAGCTGAGGATAAATTCAGGCCTCTTTTGCCATTCTTTCATTTAGAGGCCTCAAAGCATTTATTCCTGACACTGGTCAAGATCCAGAAGTCATGTTGTCCCTCCCCAGGTTGTCCCAGTTCACACAGAGCAATGTGGCTGTTGCACTGGCTGCGTCTCTCAGCTCTAAAATACTCACCTGCCTTTTTAATGCACCTGCATCTTCCCCATCCCTTCCTCCTGTGACACCAGGTTCTTCAAAGCAAAACCATAAAAGTCTACAGGGCTTTTAGAGGGATGAGGGCTTGAAGTAAACATTGCTAGCTTGGTTTCCTAACAAAGCGAGGCACCTGAAGCTCAGATGGGGTCCTCAACAGACTATTTGTTAACACAGAAAGGAAATTCTTCCTCTCAAATGAAACAATGCTTTTACTCCCTCCAAGTAGCACCTACGTAAACATCCACATTAGTAGGACAGGACCAGCATCTCCTCCACTAGCAAGAGGATGAGCACGTTCATTTATCATCCCTTGGTCCCTCATAGTCACACCTCCCTTCACTCTGCTTTTATCAGCGACAGCTGTGTTCAAGTGCTGCTACCAAGCCCTTCCCATAAGCCAAAGGAGACTGCAAATATCCCCGTTTTCATTTTTCACCACCCCAGAACAGCTAAGGGAATTTACTGCTGAAGTCCTTAAGCCCAGACATATCATGTTAACTAAAAGCTAAGAATCCAAGTTAAAGTAGATGGCTGGGAAGAAGGGAACAAACCCAAACATTTTATGTACAGTCAGGGTGCTCTCCAGATTATTCCAGCTGATTTTGCCTTTAACACAGAGCTCAAGTCCTGGTATAGAAACTTCAGTGAGCTCTTAAAACGAATTAGTCAACTCTACAGCAAGTTAACTACTGAAACAGCAGAATTAATTCTTCTCCATTTATCTTCAAAAGGAGTTGATAAAAGCAAATATCAGAATTGGATGAAGACAGAATGAGAAAGACCTTTCAGGATTTTGCGTCAGAGCTAAGCAAAAAGACCTGTTGCTATAGAAACTATTTGCATGGCTTTAATGTGACACAGGAAAGCAAAAGTACCT